AAAATTAAGTGTAGAACAACTTTACTTAGGCAGCCAGAAATGGTTTACTTAATAAAATTTTGAGAAAATAGCAATTGATTTTAAGAAAAATTTGGTACAAGTGATTGTTGGGAAGAGTTAGTGATTTGCGTCCTGTAAGACCTCACTTTCAAAAACTTAAAAAAAAAAAAAAAACATATATTTATTGTATGTTTCATTTTTTGGTTGTTTTTGGTTTGTTTTTTCTTCTTTTTTTATTTGTAGTAGAACTATTTCTTTAATAAAATTTTGGTTTGTCAGAATTTTGTCCACGACAAGATTATAGATTTAAATTTAACATTATCATGATTTAATAATAAAGACTTTGCCAGTATAAATTTCATTATAAATGTAGCTATTTTTGTATGTATCAGTTTTTGTATTCGTGACTAGGGATGGCAACAGCTACGGTTATGACCGGTTATAACTAGTGATGTGCTGTGTACAGTACTATACGTACGTACTGTACGTACTGTACGCGAAAATTTTTGCCAATCCTTTCTACCAGCCAATTAAATCGCTAGATATGCACTATATGCACTATACATACTGTATGTACTGTACGTATTGTATGCGAAAAAAATTCGGGTATCATATAAACGGTACATTACTAGTCATGACCGGTTATAAGCGTAACCGATACCGGTCGGTCAGAGACCCTTGACGACTGGTTAAAAATCTGACCAATAATAAAATTATTATAAAAATTAATGTAATAAATATCCTTATATATTTTACTAAGCAAACTAGCTTTTGACTTCTAACAAGCATCGTAGAAGATATTCTTAGAACTCTAATCCTGTAAATGATTTTTTCAGATATTCCGTCATTTCTCTATATTTTTTGTGAAAACTCCATAAATCTGCAATATGATCGACAAAATCGAATAATCTCCATGATTTAAGGTTATAAATACCGTGAATATATAACATTTATGGACAAAACACGGAATATAAAATACGAATTACCTTTTTTTATAGGGTAATAGTAAGGGATGGGAACGGCTACAGCTGAGTCATAAACGGCTATAGCCATAGTCGATATTTCCAAACCGATGGCTTTAACCGACCGGCTAAAATTATAACTCGTGCTCTGAACGGGTCGGGTCGGGTCGGATTATAGGCCAACCCGAACCCGACCCGAAATTTCGATTAGGGTCGGGTTGAAAATTTTTGGGTTAGCGCTTCAATACAGGTAGGAACATCCCAAATAAGGAAACGATGATCCCGATTATGCATATTGGTTCAGCCAATTAAAATCGTAAATTTTTATCATGTGAAAAATATCACATGTTTATTAGCCAATAAAATCGTAAGTTTTTATAAAATAAAAAACCAAAATTTAATTAAAATTTATAGCTAAAGTCCGAAGTAAAATGCCGTCAAATGTTACTGTTATGTAAGCAAGCACGTATTTATTAATTTAAATCAGAATTATTAGTTTTTTCCATAGTATTTGGTTTTATTTATTTACAAGGCATTAATAATAATAATCTACGTATATTTATTTAATTCTACGTCTAATTCTTCGACTAATTCTATGTCTAATTCTACGTATACTCAAATTTCTAATCTTTACACAATACTTCTTACACAACTATCATTTTATAAAAGATTTTTGTAATTTTAATACCCATCATATATAAATTTCTTATCGTATCTTAAAAATTCCTATAGTGATAATACTAATAAATTACATAGTTAATTAATATTATTCATATATTTTCGATTTTCTATAAGATTTTATACAATAAGTATAATAAAAAAAGTATACAAACTAATTCTTTCCTCCTACACTATCGTTGTTAACCATTATTTGAAGTTTTTTTTTTTCGCTCTTTTTGCTTAACAAATAAATTTTGTCAACATAGTGATTGTAACTTACTTATAACTTCTACAGATAACATATAACATGAAGGACAAGGGATTCAGAGAGATTCAACTGATATTCTTATAATATGACACGAAAACTTCAAGTTTTGCTTAATACATTTTGTGGGTTCACAGTAGAGATAATCTACCCGAGCTTCCGAAAAAAGTATTGTAAAACGTATAAAAAAAATTATTAATAAATTGTGTAATGATCTACAAACTCGGGCACTCGGGACGTTCCTACCTGTATTATTATATAGGAAGCCATTCATTGTACAATGATTTATTGCAATGGTCAAATGTGTATTCTAAAATTTTTTTAATATAATAAATAATCTTTAAATTTAAATTGCATAATCGTGAAATATGTGTTTTTTTATTTTAATTTTTGAATTTTGATAATGGCATAAAAAAGAAAATCATAAAAATGTTCAAAAAAAATTGAGCAATTAATTTGCCAATACGCCAAACTAGTTCTAATCAAAAAAATTATTACTTCAATATACTAATAACCATAGCTGTTCATTAAACAAAAAATGTTTCCAGGCCAATTTTCTAAAATTGTATTTTTCTTAAAATGAGAAAATTAAAAATTCTAAATTACTTTTAATGCTGTGAATTTTGTATGATAGCTAGATTCAATAATCCTAATTTTAGTATTTTTTTTTCAACTCTAATTCGGTTATGTAGTGCATCTTTTTATCCTTTTCAATTCCAATTCGGTTTAGTAATAATGTTAAAGCCGTTTTACCTGCATCAATAATAAATAATTATTAAAATAATTGCTAACGATCATTCAGCCAGTTTAATAAACCTATTAATATTAGCTAATTAATAATTTCTAATACTAGCCGAGTTGATAACTTATCAATTTGGCCTAAAAATTATTTTTTAGTTGTCTTATAATTGCAAAAAAGCTATAAAAATAGTGTATACTACTCTTAGTTCTAATCTTCAATTCAATCTAATAAAAACTCTTTAATCATAATCTGATTAAGCTTAATTTAAATCAAAATTTCTCTAAACATACCTAACCATAATACTTTATAAAATAGAATTCTCAGAAAGTTTAAAGCACCTTCTCGATACATATGATCCTACCTTTTCGGAATTAGACCCTGAGGAATTGGATAAGAACATATACTCTGAAGAGACAGAAATTTCTCAATTAGATGAATCGAGTGATGAAGATAAAAGGTCTGAAGATATTATAGTAATCTCTGAAACAGCCGTAAATGATCTTATTAAAAAGCTTTAGCAATGCTGTTTATGTAAAAAGAAATGTAGTGATAAGATTCCATTGAATTTGCTGAAATCATTGGTATTGGAAAGTCTTCAAATGGGTAAAAAACAATGTTGTTATTCAATGTTAATACTTATTTCTTCCTCAAATCCTGATTTGTACCCAACAAAAACAATTAAGAAATATCTATTACCTTATTTTGGTAATGTTTGTTTTCTTTTTTTTCAAATATTTTGAATATATGATCCTTATGCCTTTCATTATCTAAGTAGTTAGATCAGAGAACGCAAATCAATGTTACTACAACCTCATGAAAATATTGGTCGGCTACCTAAAAACATCTTGCCTAATGAAACCGTTAATGAAGTAAAGCTTTTTATTAAATCGCTTGAAGAGCAGCAGAGTGAAGCATTAGCTGTTAGAAAATATACTCGAAAAAGAGCTGATGGAAATATAACTGTTCGTTATGAAAAAGACGATATTATTTTGCTTCTATCCCATTATTCTTACAATCGTCTACTTGCTGCTTATAACTCAGTACACCCTAAAAAGCTCATTAAGAGTCGTACAACTTTTCAAAAAATATAGAGGCAAAATACCAATCTCAATAAGATATTAATTAGAAAACCATCCAAGAATGTTTGTGATGAATGTATTTTATATAAGCGTGTATTGAAGGAAAGTATTAATGATACAGATGAAGACCTCGATATATAGTTAACAACACATATATCAGATTATCGGGCAATGAGAGATGCTTATGAAGATGATATAAAAAAAGTAAAAACCTGTAATCGTTTTTTATTTCGTGTTTTCTCATTTGACTTTGCCCAGAATATAGAATTGCCTCATAACTCCCAACAACCCGGAAGTTGGTTTTATCAATCGTTATTGAAAGTTCATCAGTTTGGTTTCGTAGATGAAGGTATTGATAAATATTGGCATTGTGTCTATACCGAAGGCAAAGCCTTAAAAGGGACAAATGAGGTTGCTTCGATATTATATTTTTTTCTTATTTCCGAGATAGGTAAAGCGAAAGAAATCTGACTATAGGCTGATAATTGTAGAGGACAAAATAAGAATTCATGTCTTCTTTAGTATCTTCTTTGGTCCTGTGATACTAAAAGATTTTATGAAATTGAATATTGGTTTCAAATTAAAGGCTATATAAGAAATTTGTGGATTTGGTAGTACAAAATATATGTATATCAAATCAGAAGCTTGGTGTATCGATTATATAGTTGATATAATAAAACAAAGTGCAAGCAATAATATTCCAGTAAATTTTGAAAAACAAAAGATCTTTCGTGACTGGACATCAACATTTAGTACAATATACCGAAAACCTCCTGCTATTCAAAAGTATCATTACTTTCAGTTTAATCACGAAAGAACTGGCATAATCAGAGCTAAAATAAAGGCTAGTAACCCTTGGGATGAATTCCAGTTGTTAAAAAAAGATGCTAATCCACTCAATATTAACAATTGGGATATTCGTGAGCTTCTATCAAGAGGTCTTCCAGAGGAGAAACAAGTACAAAATTCGTAAATATTGTCCAACTGAATTTCAAGACGAACTCTGCCCAAAGCCTTCAGACGATGTAATAGAAAGAGTAAAAGGAAAAATAAAGAAAAAAAAAACGAATAGTTAGTTATGTAATTGGTACTATATTAAAATAGTTAAAGAATTTTAATTAACTTTATAAGGCTGTCCAAAGTTAATTTTTCATTTTGCAATACCTGACTTTTTGAAGTTCTAGTCTGTCAGTTGGCTTTTTTCTTTTTTTTTTGTTATCAATCTAAATAAGACTTTAATTTATATCAAATTTATGAGTTTAATCAAAACTTATCAATAACCTACCAAATAAATTACTATACCACCCGAAAATTCTCAATAACTATACTCACATTTTGTTCATTGACTGTCTATATTCAGAAATATTCCAATATTACTCTTTTTCTCATAGTTTCAGCCAAATCTGTGACATAATTTAATATTTTAATTTTTTTGAACTAGATTTGTTAAAACAATTAAAATAAATATTATTATTCTTGTTTTAAACAAATTGGTTATTATAAAAAAAAACAAAAATTCAAGTTTTTAAAAGGGTCAATGAGTAATTCAAAATGAAAAATTAACTTTGCGCAGTCTAATAGATGTTGATTTAATTACTTGTTACAAAATGAAGTGTTAGCTAACTAGAAAAACAATCAAAAAAAATAAATAAAATCAAAAAAAATAATGATAAAGTCAAAAAAGCAAATAATGCTAAAGTTGATTCGATCAAATCTTTGTAACACAGTCTGCTAAAATAGTATTTTTAATTATATATAATGTAGATTTTCCAGGGGATAAACTCGTCTTAAAATATAATTAAAAGCCCAATGATGAATTTTCCCTAGATGGCACTCAGGAGACCGACTGTATACAAAATATAATTGAAAGCCCGAATGTTAGTTTTCCCTTAGCAGCACTCATATAAGATAACAGTTTTTGCAATATTTGCTTTGTAGTGTTTATTCTATACCATTTAGCTCATCATATGATGATGGGCTCTAATACTAGTATATCACATAATTTTAATCATCACAACATTCCTATTGTTCATATGTAATATTTTTTTTGATACCAGTAATCTGATCCAGGTATATGTGTGTTATACCTATGCCATACTTGTGCTGTACTTGTGCTATACTTGTGCCATACTTGTGCCGTACTTGTGCCATACTTATGCTATATCTGTGCTATACTTGTGCTATACTTGTACTATACTTGTACCATATTTGTGCCATATTTGTGCCATACTTGTGCTATATCTGTACCATACTTTGTGCTATACTTGTGCTTTGACATATATATATTAGGTATTTGAACCTATACTCTTAAGAATGCTAGGCATTTTTAAGCCAATCATTTTGTGTTTTAAATATAAAAATGCTAGATTAATTTATATCATACCTTATATATCTATAGGCACATAATGCCTAAACATGTGTCTAGCATTTTAATGCCTATGTTTAAAAATGCCTAGCAAGTTAATGCTAAATTTTTTATAGCATGGCAGTGCCAAGGCTTTTGTTAGACACAGGCATACTGCCAGGCTGCAGATTCCTAATATATATTTGCTAAATTCTAACTCTTATTATAATCAATTTTATCTAAGCTAATAATTAGCATATATAGTAATATACAAACCAAGAATATAACTACTTATTTACCATTATATAATGCTCTTCAAACCATCCATTTGTATTAATTATCTCATTCAACTTGTAAATAGAAGATTATTAATAAATTAAATTTAGCAAGTCAGATTTTCAGACCAAGAATATGAATATTTATCATTATACAATACTTTTTAAAGTTCTATTTGCATTAGTTGTTTTATTCTACCTAACTAAAAGACCATATTAATTAGTAAAGTAAAAATTAGTAAATCGAATTCACAGATCAAGAACATAATTATTAATTATCATTATATAATGTCCTTCAAATCATTTATTTGCTCATTCAACTTTTAAATAAAAATTATATAGAATTAAATCATCAAATTTAAGTTCACAAATTAAAAACATAAATACTTACTGTTATATAATACTCTTCAAATTGTTTTATTTACATTGATCATTTCATTCTCCTTAACTAAAAGATCATTATTAATTAGTAAATCAAAATCAACAAGTCGAATTTACAGACCAAGAGCATAACTACTTATTTACTATTACATAATGCTTTTCAAATCATTCATTCGCATTATCTTGTTCAACTTGTAAGTAAAAGATTATTAATATGTGAAATTAAAATCATCTAGTTTACAAATTAATAACAGAAATACTTATATTATATAATATTTTTTCAAATCATTCTATTCACATTAATCATTCATTTGCCTTAAATAAAGATCATTATTATCAGTAAATTAAATTCAGCAAGTTGAATTTCCAGATTAAGAACATAAATACTTATCCATTATACAATACTCTTCAAATCATTTTATTCGCTTTGATCATTTTATTCTGCATTAACTAGAAAATCATTATTAATCAGTAAATTAAAAATCAGCAAATTGAGTTCACAGATCAAGAATATAAGGGGTGTGCCATTTATTACATAATATTTTCTACTTAGTAGCCACCCCTATCCATGTATAGTGTGATCACCTCTAGCTTGATTCTGATTGGTCCATTTAATTAATTATTAAAATTTTTTTTTAATTTTTTTAAAATTGAATAACTTTTGATCTACCAGTCTGTTTTGGATAATTTAACTGTCAAAATGTTCGTCTTGATAAGATGATTCTAATGAATCTAAAATCGTTAAAATTCAATCACAGAATTCTGAGATCGTTAAGATTATTTGTATAAGTTCATATATAATAAAATTAGTTTTACTATATATAAAATAGTACAAAACC